AAGCGGAGACCAAAGTACGGGTTTCCGGTCATGGAGAGGTAGGGGATCTTAACGCCCGAGGCGTTGGTGACCTCGATGGCGCCGCGGCCGGATCGGAGGGCGACATTGATGGTTCCGCAGCCCTCGAAGGTCTTCCCGCTCTGAATGGCGATGGTGTTGGCACCGATGGAGCCGGAGGCGATGACGGAGACGCGTTGGCCGCTGCTGATGGAGTCGACGGCGGCCTGGATGGCAGCACGGTAGTCGGAGCCGGAGTAGACCTGGCTGGAGCCCTTGGTGGCCACGAAAGAACTTCCAGATCCAGTGACCTTTGCGTCGGGCGTGCCGGAACCGCACTGGGCGGCAGCAGAGGAGGCGAGCGCCAGCACTGCCGTGAGGAAGGATGACTTGACCATGATTGCGGGCTAGATACACGGCTATCAATAGAGAGGAAGAAGAAGTAGAGTGTAAGATGCTTCAAGACCCTATTCTTTGGAGAACTTCGGCACGGCGACACGTTTATATCTGATGGCCCCCAACGACTCAACCAGGTGGATACTGCGATGCTCCAGATGCGCGCCACTCCGGTAGATACTCATATAGGGCAAGCACGTTCGTTGGAGGACGAAATTAACCCGGCCCCTAGACCGGGAATGCATCCTCCGCATTCATTTACCACGAGCTTGGAGGCGGCTCGGCATGGCTACGGAGTGGCTACGGTTCACTGTTTAACTCCATCGTTTTGCATTACTAGAGGATTACTATAGTACATATAGACGCTACCCTGCCCTCGAATTCCGCACTATTCAACCTTAACCCTTTTTTTACCTATCTTTTCCTCTATTCTACCCTCTCCCTTATTAAAGGATTACTAAAATCGTAGTTTTAATAGCTTATTAATAAACTAATACTATTATTTAGAAGTAAATAACTTATATTTATATATAAGTACTAAGAGTCTTATTATTATAGAAATAATAATAAATATATTAAAGTATTTAAAAAAGCTTTTTAATAAATTTCTAATACTATTTAAGGCTATAGTCCTTAAGTTATAAAAAAAAGCCGAGGTATTATATTAATACGGCCCTATTTATTTCGTTAATATTAATAATAGTCTTTTTAATATAAAATATATTACTAATACTTTATAATTATATTACTATACTTTATAAATTATACTTAACGTTAATAAGGATTTTAACGTTATTTTTTAATTTATTTTTTAATTTTTTTATTAAGGTTATTATCGTAGGGTTAGTTTAGTTATTAATATTTTAATAAGTATTTTAACTTAATTTAAAAGCTTTTATAGCCTTTAAAAAGAGGCTTTTAAAAGACTTATAATTAGACTTTTTATTTATTATAGACAAAGCTATTATAATTAAAATTATAATATTACGAACTTCGATAATAAGTAATTAGTAATATAGTTATTTTTTTTTTATAACGAGTTTAAAAAAGTATTTTAATTTAAGTACTAAGTAGGTACTATATTATTTTATTAAAACTATATTCTTATACTTATAACTTAGAAAGAATTAACTTTCTTTAATAATAAGGTACTTAGGAGTGGCTACGGTTGAGCCGGGGGTGAGCGCCGGTTGGACAGAAATTGGGAAATAGGGTCGCCAGTTCGGTTAAGAGCTACACGAATGGCACCCTAAAGAAGCAAAATGGAAGAGCGGATTGCTTGCTCTGAGAAAACAGACCTTCCCGATTCATGCTTTTGAAACTTCCGTCCCTTGGCTCACACGTTGGACCTTGGCACGACGCTGTCTTCGCTTGGCGTCACCTGTGAGATGATCGACAGAGCTGCTCTAAGAACCTCTTAAGACCACAATTGATGGAAGTTGAATGGGAGGAGTTAATATTCCGCTTGAGCTAAGCACAACGTTATGGCTGATTAACTGGCTTTCAGTATTTTGGTATTACTCTCCAGTTCGTAATTTTATATGCTCAGAGTATTTACTTGGCAACGCCTGAAGTCAAGTCTTGATGCATAGCACTATATTTAACGAAATGTCAAGCCTTGGCAGTACAGCGTACATGCTGGCGCAAGGGGGAACGTCTCATATTGACAATACTTTTTACTTCGGGCCACAGCCGCTTCCCGGTGTGAGCTTGACTGTCTCACGAACGCTAGGTCCCTCAGTTGATCCACTGAGTGAATAACGTCATCTGAAGCTGTTTCTTGGGTGCTCTTGGAGATGAGACTGGTAGAGTTGCGGTTATAACACCTACAGTTATTGGGCAGCGGAAACGGGAATTTCGAGACGGGTTCTTCGGCTCGCACTTAGATGCCCCGGTAGGAAGCAATTAAACATTGGCCAGTGGCATGGTCTTCTGGGCAGATTGGTAGGCTTTATTTAGTGGGCTCATGCACGATCCTCTTCCCCCCGCCTTTTTGACTGATTACTTCGCGCCTCTGCCGACACTCTGCAGATTCTCGTAGAATTTCCGTTCAGCTCCTGTAACTCGCAGAGCCAAGCGTGGCTTTCATAGAGCGATGCTTGACAGCCACGGTATATGCTCAAACGCTTCTGTTCCTTTTTAGGGGGAAGACAAGTGTGGGGAGAGCTGGTCCTGACAAGAAAAGGTCGAATTAGTCCGTCTTGGCGCGCTACAACCCCTCAGCCGGCAGATACGAGCTCGATTCGTGACCGGTGCAGGGGGCTTTGGGTGAATACTTTAGTGGCTGCTCATGCTGTCGCCTAGTGCCAAGCAACGTTGAGATTGGGTTCAAGGCAAAGAACCAAGTCTAGCCGGAACCTACTCTAGTGAGAATTACAGGCGATCCTTTACGATCTTCCTGGGCCATCAGGTGACCATGATGACTCGGCATTCGGCCAAAACGGGGCCGATCTAGGACCCGAGGGAAAGAAAGAGGCTCTTAATCCTCAAAGGGCTGGCTGCTGTGAGAACTCTGTTCCCATGAGAGCAAGGAGAGCAAGGATCAGATCGTAGGCTTGACATTCGTTATGTTCAAAGTATGGCAAAAGGTCTTCTCCTTCAGGTAACAAAAACAAATCAACATCCATGCGCGTACTGCCGTCGTCCCCGTCTACCGGCCCTTGTTTCTGGCCGTCGCGATGGGTAAGAAAAGTTGGACTTGCAAACACTATGCTTAGGGCCCTCAACTATGACTTTTCCGGCTTGAGTCCTTCTCCGAATTTCGTATTCGTCGATCTTGTGAGATACATTCACGGTTTATCTCAGACTCATTCTGTCGCGTGAAGTTAGTCAGCGAGGGTTCCCTCCAGATACTCCTCGAAGCTTCCCTTCTTTTCACTGTATAGTAGAACATTAAATCAAATTGAATCGAGTCAAATCATATAGTGCGCTATAGCGGCCAGGTGCCAGTTGGGCACGTCCTAGTTCCTTGTTGGGCCGTAACACTTTACTAGAACGAGCCTATAAGGATGGCCGCAGCTGCGGTTTGTATGGCTGTGCTTCTGAACTAGCAGTGGAATCGCCGTCCTCTTTGTTCTGGCTAACCTCAGCCGCCGGGCTGTTGAATGGGGTTATTGAATGACCGGGGCTTGGGGCCGGTAGAGATGTCGCTCCTAAGGGCGCATGAGATCGGTGGTACGCATTGGTGAGTGGGTAAGCTTGAAGTATAATCTGCCACCAGATAGGCACAGGCTAATTGGTTCGAACCGTGGGTTGACGAAGATGTCAGTTGCACTATAATATCTTCTGCGTAAGTGTATAAAGGAGGTTCCAACCTACGGTTGGGCAGGCCGCGATTACCGTAAGTAGTGGCCGTAGTTGGCCCCTGCGCGGGCGCCCTGACGTCGAGGTCGAATTGGACTTCCAATCCGACAGTCTCACTTTGCTATTGGTGATATTTCCCACCATAGCCTCTACGTAGCACAGGGGCCCGAATCAGAAGCCGAATACTGGGGGATCAATGTGATCGTAGCTTACGTATCACATGATAAACTTTGGTCAGTTGGAGAGGTCGCTTGTAGCGTGTTGTATTAGGATATCACGACCTTTGTAGAACGTATCACTAGAAAGCCCTCGAGACTTTCCCAAATCGGCAGACATTTATTGATGTACGTAAGACTTGCCACTTGCACAAAACTCTTAGTCACTGTAATCAGTACGCTCTAAGAGTGCTCTTCTCCATAACCCATTACTCAGGTCCCAAAACTAGGTACGAACTCGAAGTTGTCGGTCCCATAGTAAGGTATACATGGGCAAATCCCAAGTCTGCAAGTCACTCGTTCTCGCTACTTCCTTCGGATTGGTATTCGTATGTCATTCAACTGGCTGGTTGGTATTACTATTGATGAGTCTTCATAGGTGGACACTCCTGATTCTATACGGCTCCCGTCCACGAACAACACCTTGGCCTCGGCCGACACTTCACTATTCCTGATTCAATTATCCGGAGCAGGATACAAGTACTCGGTAGGACTGAGCACAGTACCCACAAATATGCGACGGCAGATGTGTTGAATGATTTACATGTTATTTGGACCCTTAACGTGGCAATTCCTATGAAGCAAAGGAACAACTTTTCAACCTAAAGGTTTACTATCTGCATCCTCCAATTTCTCCGTGCTTTTATTAGTTGTCAGTGGATGTACGAAAGGTAGTTCTAAGGTACGTCCTGGTCGTATGTTGATTTAGTATCGGATTAGAAGTCTAATTCAACCGCGGCATACGGCCAACTACACAGGGGCTAATTAGGGGCCCTATTTATAATTATTATAACTAGCTTAACCTATAGTTAGAACCTCTTTTTTATACTACGTAAAAATTTATATAGTTTAATTAATCTCTTTGTTAACTTATAGTTCGAACTAACTACCCTATAATAGGGATACTAATATTTAGTTATTATGCGTGGCTGCTATTTTGAAACTAAGGACTGAAAAGGTTTGACCTTTTTTAACTATCTGACGAAGCAGGATTTGCACCTGACCTAGTACTTGCTTTAAATGTGAAGATGCGGCTGGACAAATCTATTGAGCATGATCCCAACACCCATGACGGAAGGTAGATTACACCTAGGATACATCGCAATAGATGGCGGTATTGACGTTGTGCCACTTAGAGCAATCGAAGCATGTAGAGTCCCCACCTCCAAAGTTTCTGCAGAGATTATAGAAGGCTCTGCCATCGATCCATCCATAGGCAGCTTCCAACTAAGATACGAACTTTAGTATAGGAAGATAAGAGGCCTGGCTGGGGTCTTACAAATGCGCCTGCAAATCGGGGTCCGGGACCCTTGTCATGGGCAACCCAATAATCTCCTTCAGCTTGACCTATAGGACTGTGAGAAACTTGAAGCCCACTAGTGCGAGCTACGTACCCCAAAGGTATTCAGTGCTGTGAAGACTGCGGACCTGTGCGGTAGCATCAATGTTGATGCTTCCATCAGTAGCAGACTGACAGGCACAGAACTGGTGATTTTTCGCTAGCCTATAATTCGGTTAGTACCCCCATATGCGACATGATAAGTGGCAAAAGGGGAAATTTACACTATGCTGCAAAGAGCAAGCATGGAGGAGGCGGAGAGGATATGCATCGTCGTAGTAGGTCGTTGATTGAATACAACAAAAGGTCTTCGCCGGATTGGTATGGTAAATACAGGAAAGGGGTAAGCGAGTGGTGGAATGCCGCCAGTTTAAATAGGTTTTCCTGTCTTCTAGCAAACGGCTTCTGGTCAAAGATTGCGTTCCAGCCAGCGTTCAAAAGTGGAAAGGGTTAGGCTAGGGAGGTAAACCGCAAATTAGCATTACAAAGTCAAGCGGTTGAGATTTGCCGGTCACGAATCATTCAACATGTTTTTTCCTGTCTAAATCGCTTCCATTTCAAGCTGGCTAAAAGGTAAATTAAATGATGCTTCAGCAAGCCTTCACCAGATGAAATCGCCATGAACGTTGTTTGATCATCAAGAGCCAAGATGCGAGTAGACTAATGATATTCCGTATAGCAAGCCACAGTGTGGATTTCCCTCGCTGTAAATGCCGGATGAAGATATCTGTTGGCTATATTGTGTTGTGAAGGCTTCTTTGTCACTGGCAAAGGTCAATGATAACTAAGGTAAGGTACGAATCCCAGTGTTGCGACCAGTGCGGTCACTCACTCCCTTACTCCGCCGTATAGCTGAAGAGTAAAGAAAAAGGTACAAGTGATAGAGTTCTCATTCAGTTGGAAAGCAGCCTCGTATTCTAATTTGACAAAGGCGACTAATAGATGACTCCGTAATGAAGGTTCAGGTTCCAAGTGTATATCCCACATGAGCCGTTGATATGCAGCGGTCGCAGTGAAGATCTTGACTTCAAAATGAACCTTATGGACCGGTTAATGGTAGAAGACATGGTCAAGCATCTGAACTACATTTTACACTCGGTGTGTTGCGCCGGGGTGCCCGAGTCTCAGAGAAGTGTTGAGAGTATAAGTAGGCAGAGCCATCACCCGCCATTTAGCCTGGTATCAACCACCACACGTCCTTCATTAATAACCGCCAGTATGCGCTATCTTCTCTTTTTTGCTCTGGCTGTCTCGTGGGTATGCTCGGTCATCGGGCTACCTACTGACAACGGCAATCCGCCGCCTCAGTTGCAGGAACGGGGACTCCCATATTGCCTTTTCCCCTCCCGCCGCCCGGCCTCCACATCGTTCACTAGATCTTTTACAAGCGATCCCATCAGCAGACGTCGCGGGCATTTTGGCCCCAATGCCTACGAGAGCGCTGGTAATTCGCGGCTCAACTACCGCATTTGGGAGGACCCTGTTGGTCTCACTGGTTTGTATACCGTCATTGACGTCGCTGCGCCAGACGGGCATCCAGCCCTCGCCAACTACGAAATCGAGGTCCGTCGGATTCCGATTGCGACACCTAACGCGGCTGGAGAGTGCTTTCAGACCATGACCCTCCGATCCGGTCAGAGAGGCGCAGCCACCGTCCGGTGGAGGCTGGACGCGAGCTACACGTACTATCTGACCATCTCGGAGGTTTGAGACTGTATTACCTACAAGAGAAAAGAAACCTGTAGATTCTATGGTACTTGCCGCAAATCTTCGAGATTTGGTCCAGTCTGCTAACCCTGTCTAGAACCCAGACCATCTTACTAGGGATCGCCTAACGCAAAACACACTTCACAACAGTTCAGGGGCTATTCGGCACAGCCTCTTGAATGGGATTTCGATGAGCAGAAGTTGAGGCTGATACTCAACAGTAGTTTTGGGGTCGTTTGAATAGTTCTGTCGGTTCTTGTGGGATATGGTTCAGTATGATCAGTAAGAGACTTATTCAAGAGATGGGCAGTGGAGATTCATTCAATGCTTAAAGCGGATGTAAACCTTGAAGAAGTACGTTGAATAGTAATGGAAGTCCGGCTCTCAAGCCCAGCTCGGGACCATTACATATGAGCCCTGGAGATTCTTTGAACAGTTGTCGCCTTGTCCTATTCTTGGTGCTTACCGTGTTAAAGGTGAGCGCTCATTTGTATTGCCCACGAAGTGCGCATGATACATGATAATGACCTCTCATTTTGCATATTTTCCAATTCCCATTGCCTATTGCCTTGTATTATATCCTACGCCAATGCCCACGGAAAAGATCCCACTAGGATTTCCTCTTTGGCCGAAGCATACGAGGCGTCGTCACCCACATCTACCCGTGCCGGAAAGGATAATAAGCATTACCGCATATGCTACTACGATGCTGCGAGTTTTGGCAGTCCCGACACCAAAAACTTGGAGTGTTTCTAGAATGATATTCAACGCCGTGACGGCCGGACCGAAGGCCTCCGCAAACCTCCCGAGGGATACATGATCTGGAGGGCCATGGGCCGAGGCTATCTACTCTACAGTACATTGTTTCTGTACATATTCTTCCAAATCAGGCCTTGAGACCACCAAGTGTTCTATCTTCTATAATTCCGAGGAGAGTGCTTTGCGTACGATCAATATCGATCAAAGCTTATGTCATCCTGGAAAGACTCCGAGCTTGTAGTAAGGTACTGATCATTCGCGCGTTTGTTAGTGCTGTTACTATCTAATACACCCACGGGCTCACTTGGATATGTAACATGGCATTTGTACGCGGCTGTGTTGTACCCGATATCAAAAGAGTCATGAGCATCCCACCGCTTATTGATTAATCTCAGGAAGGACAATCAAGGCGTGCACTCGCCCTGTTGTTGGTTAGCGGCCGATGGGATAACTCAAAACAGTATGAACAGCTGAAACTCACGCAATATTCAGCTATCGTAACCTCCGTGCTTCGTACTTTTCCCAGCCATTAAGGTTCTGGTTGCCGAGATGAACACCTTAGGCTGAAAATATCTTGGATAAAATTGTACTCAGTCATTAAATATATATTCCTGCGGGCCACTGCTTCCACTCAAACATGCTATCTACTAACTTTCACTCCACCAACTTCTCCTGCCCACTCTCTGATTCACTATGCACATCACTGTTGTGCTTTCTCTCCTGGCCGCCGCTGCGGTCCAGGTTGCCGCCAAGGACTTCTCTGCTACTTGCTTTGACACGTACTACGAGTCGACCACGGTTACATCTTCCTGCTTCCGGACTGGTGGGGATAGTGGTTACACGACCCGGTTGGATATGACCAAGTGCCTTGCCAATGTCGGTGGCAAGCTTGTTGTGCGTTATTTTCCAAGGTCTGCTGCGACTATTTAATTACTACGAATGCTAACTCAAATTTCTTCACAATTGCAGTGTCGTCCCTCAAAGTAAGTTGAAAAAGCATCTGTCTACGATTCCTCCTATCTAACGTAGCTGGCTAGTCCTTCTTTCAAGTACTGCGACTGTGGCATTGCAGACAAGAAGATCCTCAACTGCCGCTGTACTGATTCAAAGGGGGTAAAGCAGCCGACATCTATCGACCTCGGTAATTTTCCTGAAGAAAACCTCGCGCTGTAGAGGCGACCAGAAGCTAACATGCGCTAGACACGTGCTTGAGTAATAATGACTCTGAGTTAGAATGCAAGTGAATGCATTGCACGGGGAGGAAGGGATAGAAAGTGCGATGCGGTTGTTGTTACTAAGGTGTCTAGAAGCTAACATTCCTGATGGACTTGGGTACTTATTTGTATTACCTTGAGGACTGTGATAATCCTCGAGCTAAAACGGCTTCAAGCGTAAGAACTGCTCAAAACATCCTTGTTTACTATGTCGACTGTGAGGAGGTTGCCCAAAGAAACTGGTGAATCTTGGTAGTTTGGTTTGGCCCCCTTGTTCTCGGGGGTCGCGACATGCTCAAACTATTCCCTGATAAACTCAGCAAATGCTCCCTTAACACGCCTTGAATCAATAGGGCGGCGTCTCTGGACCTTGATAGAGGGGTTCCTTTTTACAAGGCTTATAAACAACCTTTTCCCACTTTTTTGAATCGTTAGAGGCCCGTAGCACGCGTTCTACGAATTTCTTCGTTTGTTGATGCGTTAAATCAACGCCTAGAATATGTTGTACGCGTATTTCAACATCCAAGTGCCTCTCCTGGGTTTGGGATAACCTCTGGAGGTCAGCGATTCCCTTTGCCCTATATTAGTGCCTTCTATGCGATGTCTAAGTATTGGTCTGGGAGTTCCCCCGTTGATGGAGGCTCTGTTGACTCATTCTTCGTATGCAAAATCCGCGAGTGCGTGATCAAGCTCATGTTCGATGGATTAGACCACTCCCTGCAAATGAAAGTATTCTCAGAGCAGAAGAAAAGTGAGAGCATTCGGAACAAAGTTGTTAATGTTGTGATTGATTGAACTGGGACTAATAAGGTAGCCGGGCATAATATCAGGGGGTTTTTAGGGAGAAATGTCAGAGGTAGCTACTTAGATCCCGGCGACAGACGAGCCGGCGCTTCCCTATGATACATAGTAGGGATTCTTAATTTATTACGCTAGGACAATTGAAACGTAAGCCTGAGTCATTCCATCTCACTACCGAAGTTAAATAAATAACGTGATAATAGAGTGTAATCCGTCGTACTTTGCTTATATAGTCTCGTGAGGACGATGAATTGGCCGGCCAGGTCAACCTCGTCATACTCATCCCATCTTGTCATAAACCTCTATCACTACTACAACTCCCACTCTGGTTGCTATGACGCCACTCCCTTCACTCATTATACTTGCTGGATATGTCGTAGCAGCACTAGGCCTGCCGACAGACCAGACTACTGGAGGAGATTCCAAAGTCCTTGAAGCACGGGTATGCGATCTCAACCCCACCCCCCCTGAGAATTTCTAATCACAAACGTGGTGATTTTCAGAGATACTGCCCTTTCTTCAACATGAATTGCTTCCCCAGCGGAAACACGAATGATCGTACGGGATGCCGACAGCATTGGTGCTCGCACAGCTGTTCTTGCCCGTCCGGCTGGGCCCGAGAATGCACCCATATTACCGACCTCACCTGCGGCGGATTCTAGTCGAGTTGCGTCAAGCACGAGAGAAGTACTGCATAGGTAGATCCCGGGGCGCATTCTTGCCCGAACGATCTGCGTGGTGTTGGTATGTAGTGTTAATGAAAGGTTGCAGCATCAACGTTCTGGTGTTTGTATATCACTTGATGAACGGCTGGACAAATGCATAACTCTTTTGAAATAGCTCAAGAATACCTTATTTCTATTAAATTGAACGGATCGTAACGCCACAATGCGCAATATTCTTGTCTTTCTTATAGTCTAACGAGCGCAACTTATCTACTCCCATAATGATAACCTAAATCCCGCTTCCTTGCAAATTGCCTGGAAAGATAGGAGACTTAATCTCGTTCATAGTCCGAAGCAAAAATGAGGGTGTCAGCGGTCTTTGCGAGCAGAGTCGTGTGAAAGATAAGGCTCTTGGGGTCGAGAATGCTGCTGCTCAAGCACGTGATGTCCATAGGCCAGGTTTTATGTTACTATTCCATGATACTAAAGAGTCAGCTGGAATGGCGAGGAGACGCTCCCCGATCCAGTTGAAGAGATATTGATACTTGAAAATGCCATCCCTGTCACACCAACATATGTAACGAATATTAATGATCAAGTCAACCTTTTACTCTATCGATGGGGCAGAACCCTACCGATCCGATTCCGCTGAAACTGTTGCAAGATCTGAACTCGAAGATATCGAAGTTCAAGCGCCGAAGAAAAGAGAGCTCTGGACACCAATGGTGCTGAGATATTCATTCACCAGTGTTGTATCCCTCTACCATTTTTTTGGGGTTCTATCATGGCTAAGTCCTGGAAAATCACAATCTTCGGCACATCACTTGGCTAAAGAGCCCTTTCACCTCTTCACGGAACATGAAAATAATAGAATACGCTTCAACAAGCGTCATATAGCCTCAATAACCAGTCTTTGCGAAAATCGCAGTGTGCCTTAGGTATGCCACTATCTTATGCTGGAATGATCCAGTTGCACCGCCTCTCCTTCCAAGTATTTTCAAATTGACGGCGAAAAACGTCGACTTGCGAACAACCCTTGCTTGAGATCCATATACGCAACATTACTGTTTTTTCAAGCCTAAGTATCGAGAATATAGACTGGTTTGTGGTTATTGTCCCAGCCCTCACTTTGCACTTGTCCACATGTTTATGGTGAGTTTCTGTAACACCCAGCTGTTGCGCCTCATCACAAGTTGATGCGAGCTTTGAAGACTACTCTGGAATTTCTGTTATGGCTGGCTTCTCACCCCCAATATGTGCGCAGGTTGTATGAAAATTTACGAAACTTTCCTTCAACTTGGTCGATAAAACCTATCAACTCCGCAGGTTTCTGGGAGATCTGGGCTGAGATAGAGAACGTTCGACTTGAATGAAGCACATTCGAAGCCTAACTTTCATTCGCCCCGGATGTCAGATTATGATCACAGCTATTTGATATGTGGAGAGGAATTCCCAAACGGTCGTCTGCATTCAAACTGATTGAGGCGGCGGAATTAACCTCTTGGCTTCGGTACATATCTCGTTCATTGCTCTTTGTAGCTTTGCGAATGGTGACTTTCTAGGCTGCTGGTCGATGCATTTAGGGTCACTGAACTTGGTCAGCTTGGGAAACAACGCCTACAGTCCACGCTCACTTCTGTTCAAGCGATTGGAGAGAATCGGAGCGTTTGATGCTCCTTGTGATCTCGTCAGCTTTGTAGTCTCGTCAACCAACATCTCTAAGCATTCCATCCTTGGGCAAGAGTGGTTATTCTTTCCTGTTTCATCTGTGGAGCGGCAGGGCGTACCGAGATTGGGCACGATCTCGGCGCTGATATTGGCCGACCGAGCACAAGGGGCTCTGTGCTCCAACTCCCCCCCTCTGGAATGTACAACGTGGTCCCAATTAAATGGGACACACCGCAACTTTCAAACACCCAGCTAGGCCCCCAACTCCAACCACAAGCTAAGCCTCCAGCTCACATGTGAGATTCAGCCTTAATGCGCCATCCCTAACGCTCTGCCGCCCTTCCAATAGACTTCAAAGACGACCAACGTATCTGTACTTCGTGGAGGGACGTTTGCACGCACATTCAGAGACGCCCATAATGCCCTCCATTCTCGCCACGGCGATCCAGTCTTCTTTACTCAAGGGCACCGCAAACTTCACGGCACAGATCGTCAACCAGCACAGGCAGGCCGGCGGCAGTGCCGGGGCCCCGCTCGACGTCCGTCGCGTCCTCGAGTTCGCGACCTTTGGCTTCATACAGGGCCACATCAACTACTGGTGGCAGCACTTTCTCGAAGACCAGTTTCCCAACTCGGCGTCGTCGGCCCGCGGCAGGGGAAGGAAGGCGTCCATCGTTGAGCCCAAGATCGAGAAGCCCGAGAAACCCGAGAAGGCGGCCCCCAAGAACTATTTCAATGTCGCACGCAAGGTGCTTGTCGACCAGACCGTCGGCCTGTTCATGATGAACTCGGCCTTTCTTCTCATCACGTCTGCCCTGCGCTTTGGTTTCTCTCCGATCGTCTACCAGATCTGGAGCGAGAGGATATTCGACCTCATCAAGGCTGCGTGGAAGTTTTGGCCTCTGGTGGCTATGCTCAATTTCGCCCTCGTGCCCGTGGGCTATCGAGCGCTGGTAGGCATGTGTGTTGGATTTATATGGAACATGTTTCTCACGTTTTTCCTATTGTAACTTGCATGCCGGAAGGCCTTTCATTCTTTCTCTTTGTGCACATCACGGGTTGCATCAAAAAGCGTGGAGTTTTTTTCGGGTTCGAAATGGTTGATCCATGTATTCTTGCCTGCCACCTGGCTAGTCTTGGGGAGAAGACGGGCCGCACGGGGTTATTCTCGTCATAATCAATTGACTGCTCACAGCTCATCATGAACGGCTTGCTCAGCCGCCTTTCCGGCTGAAGACTTTTCATCCCCTGTCTTACTCATAGGTCCGAGTATGGTGAAAATGACCCGGCGATAGGAAACCAGTGTACCATCAGAGACCTCAAGGATGAGATGCATATGCTTGTCGTCATTCGGGTGACGATTTCTGCCTGGGGCACGGAGAGCCTCCTCTGAAGGCATTGTGACTGTGATAATGGGAGCGTCGGTATCACTCAGCTCCAGTCTGCCGACGTCTCGTCCTGGATTATTGTTGTTTGATGATGGCTCCAAGTACTGCCACCACTTGTACGTCAACTCTCCTCCGTCCGGGTCGCAAGACTCTCGCGCATCGAGCCCGATGACGTCCTCCTCCTTGACGACCATTTTCACAATCTTGCGAGACGTGTCTCCATTCAGCACCACGACAGGGGCATGGTGAGCATCACCGAATTCAGGACTGGCGGACCACTTGATACGGGCAGCAAAGTCGTTCTGGAACGCCTCCCTCCATCTCCACACGGTCGCCTGCGAACTCATGATCGTCCTTCCCGAAATCCCTTTCAGGACGTCCACCGTATCCGCGTAATGACCCTCACCGTAGGTGACGGGTCCATATCGGCCGCCCCAAGATCCCCATTCCGGATATTCGGGGTCGGAGAGCCCGTTGGGGATCAGGTAGAGAAGCGAAGGTGTATCGCCCTCGACAATGAAGTCAGCGTCAGGATACTTCGCCCCCAATGGCCCGACACTCTGGATATTCTGCCTGATCCAATCTGGCGATATGACCTCCTGGTTTGAGAAGCTCGGAAAGTTGTAGTACTCCTCACCCGAGATGCCGCCCCACGCGGCAACGGCGTAGCGGTTGAAGTGATGGACACTGGCAATGTAAAAGAGTTGCGGCCAGTTTCGACGGATCCACGAGCCGGTATTGTCCTGATCAGAAATCGCATAAACGCGGAGCTTGGAGACGAAAGTTTCGATCTCGGAGGACGATCGCGTCGCGTTGACGTGCCACAACGCCTGCGCCAGGACGGACGCCCCTCCCCATACCGGGACCCAGAGCGGCTCGTCCGAGGCGTCGACTGCTTTTACAAGCTTGTCGGAACCCTCGCTGTCCTTTTCTTCGCCGACGCCGTCCATGCCGTAGACCGGCAAGCCGGTGGCAATTAGGCCTTTGAGATAGGATGCTTCAGGCCAGCCGGGAGCATGTTTCTTTAGGTTTAGCAGTGCTTCGCCGTATGCGTCAACAATATCGTGCATCTGGTCTGGACGGGTGGTGTCATTCAGCCAAACACTCGTCGTCGCCACTAGACCTTCAATCTGAAGATCATTAGCATAGACTAGAAGTCGCACGAGCGACTGCGCATCATCGGGCTCGTTGGCGATGTCGCTCAAGAGGAATACGCGGGGCTTTTCAGGGGTTGAGGGCGTGCATTGTGACGCGAGAGATGGTACGATGCAAGAAAGGAGCAAGGTGGCTCTTGAAAGACTTGATGAGCAATGCATTGTGAAGCAATACCAGCAAAAACGAAGGTCGGAAGATTAAACAACTTCAAGATACTGACTAGTGAGCTTTCCGTGAGAGGAAGTATTTGTGGTACTCCAAGCTTGCGCTTGAAGCTGGTGACTGCTGCGACGCTTCTGGTTGCCTTATTGGGAATGAACAAACATGGGTCAAAAGTCACCGCCAACCTGAACACTGCGCCAGTCAAGCACTCTCGGACTTCTATCCGTGTGCCGAACACCAGTCTCATTCAATTCCATGACGTTTTCCAGAAGGAGGATGCCTGACTTAGAAGCCGAGTATATCAAACAACCTCACGATAGCCCTTGGTGCTTAGCTTGTTCGCATGAAAACTTATCGGATAGATATGCAACTATAAATCATCGCTTGGCGCTTAGTTGATTCTGCCCGGTAAGACCACCTATCCCCCCCCCCCCCCAGGTATTTCGCGACTATCTCAGACAAGAAGTTTCCCTCACCTCAATACCTGACAGAAATCGTTGCACAAATTACCCAGCCACTTTAGAACAGGCTTTCTACTACGGCATATCCTTCACAGCAGATTTCCAGGCCGAGCGGCCCGAAACAAGCTTCCACAAATCTTCAACATGTGGTCTCGCGGTAACTTCTTCGTACAACCCTAGCAAGTGGATGTAAGGCATCCAGGTGAAGATATATATGTCAGCAAGGCTGAAGTTCTATCGCACGGTTAGAGGAAGCCTCGAGCCTAGCAACGTAGCCCGGATAGCAAGAGGTGCATTTGATCTTACATTCCCAGCTAGGTAAGCATTGGAGCCCAGGAAGTCTTCGTAATAGTCAAGTGCAGTTTTGAACATTTCAGTTGCTTTTTCCACTTGAGAAGGATACGCCGGCTCAGCTGGGCTTAGGTAGGTCGCGTTGTCAGTAGAGAATTACTACTTAAGAGTCGAGCAGTTTGGCCTTACTTCTTCCACATCTTCTCGTTGCACAACGTCCTAACGGATGGGTCAAAGTAGGAGTAGTCAATACTGAGAGCCTTCTCAAAGTTCCCAATCTTGACTGGATCACCGCTCATGACGGCATCAAGAGAGCTAAAGGGACCGCCAAACTCGGTGACGAGGTAGCGGCAAATGGCTCGGGATTCAAAGAGTTGAAAATCTGCATCTTGGATGACAGGCATGCGACCAAAGGGGTGTTGTTCCTTGACGTATGCGGGATTCTGATGCTGATTGTCAGAGCTTCATGGATGGAGATGTGTGAATGAACTTTGAGCAGGCCACAGCTACGAACCTTTTGTTCTTCCTTCATGAGGTTAACTTGGGTCAAATCGTACTCGAGCCCAAGTTCATTGAGAGTAATCAGCACTCTGTGGACACAGGAAGGAAGATGTCACGGAGCCGCAAAGTTTGATCGACATTGTGAGTTGGTAAGCCTTGAATTTGACGAAGTATTTATCCAAGAGAGATTGAAGATTCTTTGCTTGTGAGGAACGTAACTGTGAAGGGTGGATCACTGTATGACAAGGAGACACGATGTTCGAAACATGGCGACTTGACGTCTATCATCTCAAACCAAGAGAGAAGTCAGGAGGAAAATGTACAACCCAGCCGACGGCACGAGTTTGTCAAAGCATAGGAGCTCATCGCAAGTGCTGAAGCGTCACTTTGCTTCATAATCAATCGCGATCGCTTCTAGACTCCTTCTTCAGAACTCCTGACCTCTGGCGAGGCTCGATAACTCATAGCAGTTCTGGCCGGCCTGTTACGCGTTTTTTGCGGTTGTTCAGAGTTGCAGCAGCTCACTGGAGGTGTGAGCTGACTGTGGAGGTGCAATCACTCGGAGGAATCTGCATATTGGTGTCCGTGACCGACCGGCTGCACGCTCATAGATTTATAAGCCCCCTTCAGGAACATATCATCCAGACCAGTGCCTTTTTTTCCAGTTCTGATTTCTAAGCACTTATCGTTTGTGTTTGTTCTGTGGTTACTGGGGATGCAGTTCGCCTTCGATGGCTTGCACCGCAGGGCGGACTCCGGAAAACAATACATTGAACAGGCCGAATTGTAAGCTGAGGTAATTCATCAGACGCACCTGCAAAGACACATTATGATTTTCAGCTCGATATACCACCGAGAAAAATCGATAATCAGGTCTTCCAATGATTCAAAATTGTCACTTCGTGGAAAGTCTAGGAAAAAGATGGTTTGAAAAATATAGCAGCACAATGACTTTGTTGACATTCGCGCCAACGAAACGGAATATAAATGCTGATGCAAATACTCAATGTTCTGGGCATGCATATCCCATCAGGATGAGTTTTACCGTCCGAATGCCAACACAACGACTCCAAGTTATAACTTGAAGACCTAAAGAGAGGAGAGGTAAGTTAATAGAGACACAATTCTTACTCCGTTTTTCCAAAGAACCTGTCATTGACGGCGTGATGCCGCAATAGCTGGGAGATACACGGAATACCTTACTATGGTAGACTAGCCTGAGCCACTGTGGCTGAGGAAGCCTTAGGTAATGCGCTGCTGCTACAGTAGGACCCTTGAACATCCTCGGCTTAGACCCGCCGTCGGCCCTGCCCCACTCGAAGCCAATAACGGGGAAAGGGGGTCACGACTCGCCAAGAGATTTGCTGGGCTGATTCCGAACCATCACCACCGTAATCTGCAGACAAGGGGCTCCATGTCAACGATGCCCGCGAAAACAGCCGCTGTAATCTAGTCAGAACCCAGATTGATGGAAGTCCCAGTCTTTCTGTTAGAGTTTGGAAGTTTTTATCAAACTCTCAGAGGGCGTCTGGAAGAGCAGTGTCCTGAATCCTCTCGGCTTTAGCCGGAATGACCTAGAAAGTGAGTACTTTATCAACCCCTATCCCACCTAATTGCTGACGGGAAAATATTTGCCGTCCGCCACTTCCGGCATACGAGATACGGGAAACGCTTGTACGGACACTTCAATCTTCAGGACCATGGCGACAAGGCTCGTGCAGGTGATTTACAGAGCTGTCGTACGATCGAGTCACAAATCCTGAACTTAGACCTATAATCGAGGCCGACAGAAACGGAGTCAAGACGTCAAACGGGAACTTTACAGGGCAGTTCGGAACACAGCTTACTAGCGCTCTGGATTTGTTGCAGTTTAGCCCGGCTACGGTAGTCGAGACAGCGCGATTGTATTGCTTCTAGTGCCGCCAAAGTATATGAATTCTGTGGGAATTCTGGAGTTACAGATGCTTACTCTTGGTCTAGGTTCACACTGAGGGCAAGCCGCAGCGGTTGTACAATATAATTTGATGCATTATCTTTTACAATGTGTGTGCAGTCCTGGCTTTATCATATGATAACGTCGCTCAAAACAATTTTCCCAGTACAACCCCGCCCAAACTCCAGTACGATGCGAATTTTGTGTCCTCTAAATCCAAGCCCGAATCATTAGACATTACGAATATGTGCCCCTCAATCACGCTGTATCGTGACGGTCTTGGTCTGTAGAATCGCCTTGTCGCTCATATCGTCGGCGCTCTCCCTCCCACCGGCAACTACTACGGATGAGAAGCCGGGGTCTTCTTCGTTCATCCTCTTGCGATCGGAGTGGAAGGTATGCATTTCGTTCTCGTCCGGAAACTGTTCGTATTGCTTTCTTTGACGGCTTTTCATGGCATTCGTTGATCTTTGATGCGCGTATGACATTCGATAACCGCCGACTGCGTAAGATGATGGGTTCGTGGAGGAGCCCATGAGCTTTGGCGCGAAATGCTTGAAGAACTTTCGTAGGGTGGGCATCGAGCCGCAAATCACAAAGAGGTTGGCTTCAACGAAACTATTCAGAGCAGGGGTTAGGACAATGAAGAGGCAAAGAAAGCAGTGATCAGGAGCACTTACGTCCAGATATTCGCAGGGGCAGCATCCCATGACGGATCTACACTGACGAGTAGTGGGGGTAGGTAGGTCAATCTAACGATGGAAGTCGCCACGGTCCTTTTCATGAAGTCAGTGGGAAATACTTGATTGAGCTTTGAAGGATAAGTGCCGCCTACATTGATCCAATAGCAAAGATTATAACGGCGCCGATCTTTGATGCCATCTTCATGCGAAGACTGAAGATCATAGGCATCGGAAGAATGAACAGCATGACATCAGTGATGATATTAGACACAGCCGTGGCCATGTACAGAATGCCAACGTCGAGGCACTTTCCGCCGGTGATGGTGAAGTCAAAAGCTTTCCTGACGGGATTGCAGTGGAACAGCATCAGGATAGTGATGCATGCTGTATACAGCGAAACCACAGCAATACCCGTCCATACTGCTACTCTAAACCACTTCTGGGGTGAAAGATGAAGATAAAATGTCAAAAGAGACAATTTTGTAAAGCCATTGCACAGCATGAAGACGGGCGCTGTTACGTAGGTTGTCTGTATCATGTCAGCATCCTATGGCAATTAGGGGCTTTTGTGATAGACTCACGATGGAGTAGCGCACGAATCTTGACATTGGCATCTCCCAGGCATGAGCGCACATGCCACCTTCAGCAATAGAAGCTGCAGAACTCTGGTCAGCTTCAAGTGACCTACAGCATGCAAGATGGGCCAGACATACCAACAAGCATTGCTTGAGTGACCACGGAGGCACCCTGAGTGAAGGAAGGTTAGACAATGATCTGGTAGCCAAGGAGCTGAACAGCGATCAGTGGATCGTCGAGCCGAACTTACCCATCCCAGAAACATGAAAGCTTTCAATAGTCAGTTTTTTGGCGAAATACTAGGTCGATCAACCCAGGTAAACTCACCATCGTCAACTTGCAGCCCTTTTGAAAGGAATAATTTGGTGTAAAATCTTTGGCACAGGGCAATGAAGGCAATAGTACCACCAACACCAAAGAGCAAGTAATGCTCCAGCACCTTTTGCTGCCTCGGGTGGTCAAAGTCGACCGTGACGCCCGGCGGGGCTGGGATCACAGAGACTTCAGACATGTTGCCAGTAGAATGGTTCAGATTCGCAAGCGACCGAAATCTTGGGTCTAATGGGGGGGAAAAAAGAGCAGCATCCGATCTAGCGTATATACATGTTATCGTACTGAGTTCTGACGGAATTCACCTGCCATAGTCCGTGACCACATTCGGGTGTACCGAGGGTGTAAAGGACCAGGGTCCAACGTAGAAAATTCGGGCCTCCCCCTTCGACGAAATTGCATGCTTCAAGCACTTTCTCCCGCATCTTCTCTTTTGACGGGATGAACTCTGGACGGTGCCGTGGAGGGAGCATGGATCACTCAAGGTCCCTTTGAGAACTCCTGGAGTCTCGATAAGTGTGATCTGGCGCGACTCATGTAATTGGTATCCATCTCAACGGTCAAATACTTATGAGGTCTATGCTTCAGCGCCAGGATAGGCTTTCTTTGGTGTAGTGCACTCGATTTTCTGTTAAAACTATACTCGCTGTGCTTATTGCTCGAGATCCTGACCTGGTTGTTGCGCAACCGAGCAGCTTCTCATTCGTGGGATCGCTGCCCTTCCAAAACTAATAAGAGGCACAGTGTTTGCTGTACGATCGACGCCCCGATCGAGAAGTTTGGTCCGAACTCATAATAAGGTTCCGTTGTTGGAGAGTGTTGGAAGTTGTCTCTATGGACTGGGATCGCTGGTCCAGCCCCGGTAGTTGGGCTGGTGTAAGGTACGGTAGAAGAGGAGAATGACCAGTCACAAAGCGGGCCGCCGAAACTGGGGTCGACAAGGGGTTGGGACAGCCCTGACAAAAGGACCGATGGCTCCAATCTCCAAGATAGAGAAACGTCATGCCCATTGGGTCCCGGCTACCAGTTACCCTCGCTCTCGCAGCCACCCATCATTGTGCTTGGGATCAGGGGTGGTGAAGACTCGAGAGATTTGCTGCGGTACAGAGTAATCCGCGACCGAGCCCTCAGATTCTCCGCCCTTTCCGTCAGATCTTGGTCAAAGCTGATAGAATAAGACAACGACCCCAACACACGTACCTGAATGGAACCCATGGTGCGGCACAGGAATAACCCACTCCTTGCTGATACACGTATGGATCTAATATCCTGGAGGCGTATCCATGAAAAGGCGGAATGGATTAGAAGGACCTCCGTCATACGGGCAACATCATCCTCCTTTCCTTGAGAGGGGAGTCACGGAGCAGAGCTTCTGCTTCCTCGGAGGCGATCGTTATAATATACTTTGCATGCCCATCTTTGGCCTATAAAAACCACCAGCGGTTCCCGCGTTTGCCATGGATAGGGCAAGTAAATCTGCCCAAGCTTCACCAGCATGACTCGCCTTCC